GTTATCTGATTGTTTTTGCTTCTGTAACTGTAAGGGAACACATTTGCCTATTTTGTATCCTGATGACCTAATGCCGTTACATGTGATACGTTAGAATAGAATATCTTTGATGGGAGGTAGTGTGTTTATGTGTGCATGTTCAAAGTTATAGTGGATGTTGTGGTTGGACAGGGATGGGAGTGATGGAGGCCACAGCTCTGGGAAAGAAGCTGTTCTTCAGTCTGTTGTTGCGTGATTTTATTGACCTGAACCGTCTGCCGGACTCGGTTCGAACAGTGAGTGGCCGGGGTGTGTGATGTCTCTGATGATACTGCTGGCTTTCTTCTGCAGTCGACTTTTGTAGATGTTGCCAAGGTTGGGCAGCTCAGTCCCAACGATGCGCTGAGCAGCCTTCACCACCCGTTGCAGGTCCTTCCACTCTGCAGCTGCTGTACCACACAGTTATGCAGCTGGTCAGGGTGCTTTCAATAGTCGACCGATAGAAGTTTACCAGCAGTTTTTGTGGAAGCCTGGCCTGTCTCAGTTTCCTCAGGAAAAACAGTCTCTGCTGTGCCTTTTTCACCAGGTTTGAGGTCCAAGTTAAATGATTGGAGATGTTGACTCCAAGGAACCGTAGGTCCTCCACGCTCTCCACTGCTTCTCTGTGGAGGGGAGATGGACTTCCTTTTTTGTCCTCCTGAAATCAACAATGAGCTCCTTAGTTTTGGTTTTAGTTACTCCCTAAGCCTGATTTCACCCACCTGCAACCGATTGGCTAATAATCACAAATGTTCATTTCTTTGACCCCTTGACTCGACAACTTTCTTGTTTAATAATCGTTACATCTCCTCAGGACCAAGTTCCCGTGTCCTGCCTTTCACCTGCTGATCACCCACTGCTCATTTAAGGTGGACTGACCTTTACAATGGACCAGCTAGTCTTAGTGTCTTAATGCTAACATTTTGTAAAGTGATGCTAGACCAAAAACGTGCTGTTGGGTTGTGTGCTCTCTGCAGGACGGTGTCTGTAGTCAAAGATTGTTTATGAAATGAGAGTTTAACTCTTTTTGTTGTCCAAATAGAGCGATACGTCTTCTTTCCAGCAGATGACATACATGGTAAATTATCCAGTTCAACTGTCATCCACATATTAATGATTCAAAACAGCAATGTGTAAGAAATGGCTAGTAATTGACTATTTCAACAGAATGTGAAGAGGTTACAGTCTTGAGGCCATGTCCAATATGTTCATGTTTTTTTTTGTATTAAATCTACTGAAATGATTATTCAATGACTGAATTATTCTTAATTACTGTCATTACATCATGGGTTTGCATTGTAAAGTATGAGCATCAAATCAAATCAAATCAAGTTTTATTTATATAGCACATTTTTAAACGATTTTTGGTCGAGCCAAAGTGCTGTACATATAATAAAAATACCCTACAGTAAAGACACTTTTCAGCAAATACAAAAGCACAGTTTGTTCCGAATATCAGTATGAGAAAAACGACACTCTCTGTCCTTAGACCCTCACATCGTACAAGGAAAAACTTCCAGAGAAAAAACCCACATTTCAAAGGGAAAAATGGGAGAAACCTCTGGGAGAGCAACAGAGGAGGGATCCCTCTCCCAGGACGGACAGACGTGCAATAGATGCCGTGTGTAAGAGATAATACATTTTACAGCATAGGTAGACAGAATGTTTGGAAATGCATGTGTCTATAATAGCAAGATGAATCCACGAAGATGTCAACAACAATCTTGAGGGAGCCATCAGGGAAGCAGCATGACGAGAGCCAGGCAGGACCGCAGAGACAGGCCCAGCCACGACCCGAAGTCCACGACTTAATCCAGAACTCAGGATAGAGGATCCAGGGCACAGTACCACAGCAAGAGGATCAGCCTCGACTCCGGATCCCGGCGTAGATATAGACACAAAAAGAAAAAATGTGGCTGGGTTAATCGGAACATGAGAGTACACAGACACAGACAGACAGAAGGAAGAACAAGCACTCCCTTAGGATAGGTTAAGGGAAAAGGGTAGCAAGTAAGAGAGTAATAAACAGAGGTGGAGAGGCACACGCAGGGAACAAAGGCCCCACTGGAGCCTTAGTTGGAATTTAGCAGAGGTAGGGAGGAAGCTGTGAAAACAATCATAACACTCCCCTGCCGAGATGAGCTTCTCTGCAAACCTGTTACCCTATTATTTTTCAATATAAGATCCACATCTGGGCCGACCTCACATGGAGGGGCAAAGTGTTCCAGAGCCTGGGGCCCGCTGCTGCGAATGCTCGGGGCCCTCGGGTTTTAAGCCTGGTCTTAGGCACTATCAACAGCAGCTGGTCAGCAGACCTTAAAGCTCTGGCTGGGGTGTAGCGATGGAGGAGTTCAGCTATATAGCCAGCCCATTTAGGGCTTTGAAAACAAATAGGAGTTTAAAATCTATTCTGAACCGAATTGGAAGCCAGTGCAATGAGGCCAGAATTGGGGTGATGTGGTCACGCTTTTTGTGGCCAGTGAGAAGACGTGCAGCTGCGTTCTGCACTAGCTGCAGGCGTCTAATTGAGGCCTGGTCCATACCCACATACAGAGCGTTGCAGTAATCCAGTCGCGAGGTAACAAAGGCGTTAATAACCCTTTCTAGGTCTTTAAAAGATAAATACGACTTGGTTTTAGCCAATAGTCTTATTTAAAAAAAGCAAGATTTGACTACGGTGCTGACCTGCTTATCAAATTTAAAAGTGCTAGTGAAGGTCACTCCAGGGTTCATGACAGAGGGGAGGATGTTTTTATTGAGGGAGCCCAGGATATCAACCGGAGAGGCTGGAGGTTGGGGTCCAAAAAAGATGACCTCGGTCTTGCTCTCGTTGAGGTTGAGGAAGTTTTGGTTTTTGGTGGCCAGGATTTAATCTCTGTGATGATGAAATAATTATTCAATGACTAAATTATTCTTAATTACTGTCATTACATCATGGGTTTGCATTGCAATATTAGAACACATAAAACCCAACTTTATTTCTTCTAAGTTGCGGGTGTTCATTGTTTAGAAGTCCGCTGTGTTTCATCCAAGCTTCCACTTCGTGCTCCGATAATGCTGAAAGTATCTGTTGTATGCTTTACCTGCTCCAGTAACAAAAGTGTAAGTCACTGGACAGAGACAAGAGATAGTGGATGGATCCAGAGGAGAACCAGAAGATAGTCCGTATAGAGCCTTCAGGTTCTGAAAATGATCAGCGATAGAGCTGGAAAGAAACTCCAAAAACCTGAATAGAGCTAGAAGATAGCCAGTACAAAGCCAAGAAAGACCCAGTAGAAAGACAGGAAGGAGCCACAAGAGTTTGTATTTTTTATTTTGTATCTTTTAATATTCAAGCTCTTCTATTAAGATATTAAAACTTCCTATCTCAACATGCTGCCAATTATTGAGATTGTTTTACAGCTTTTATCTTAAAATATTTAGACTTGTTTCTTTACATATAGATTACATAGGATGAACATCACGATCCACTCTGCTGGATTCTGCCCAAATCGGCTCAAAATGCATGCAAACATCTGGCTTTATTCATACTCCTGCAGTTGTATTGTTCTGGATTCATAGTGAGGTTTATTAGGTGTTCTGCACTGTTATTGTTATGTATTTAACATAAAGTCAAATACCCATAAAAACAGTCAGAAAAGAGAAAGAGACTCACTTTTGTTATTTCGCCTTTTATACCACACTGCAAGTCTGACATTTATTAATGAGACGACTGGAAGTTACCCTGCAGATGTAAACACTTATAAACACAGCTCAAGTCTTTCACAGCCAGAAATATTCAAGCAGAAAAATCAGTGTCTAAATCAAAAAGGAAAGCAATCATCTAAGACAACCTTTGTGAAGCGGATGAGATCAACTCAGCGTACACGACACATCACTCCTGTGATTTTTGGTCATAATCCAGGTTCTATGTTCACATAGAGAAGGATATCACAGTGTTTGAGGGCCTATGTCGGTTAAAAGCCAGCGGAAGGGCGTATTAGTCTGGGAAATAACTCATACTAAAGAAAGAAACTGTGATACCTTAAAAAAAAGAAGTGTTTGATAGAGGTTCATTCAACCTTGCAAGTGGAGCAATACAAACAAAACAAAACAAAATACTTACATCATTATTTTTTTATTTCCCCCCAAATGTAGGAATTTAATATACTTTTGTTCTTGTTAAAGCCTGATTTTTCTGGTAAATTAACCTTACAAATCTCAAAGAATATAAAACATTTTTTACGATTTAATCTTGCTTATTTTCTTGGAATATTACCCTCCTCCCTTTCTATTTAATTTGATTAAAAAATCTACAATGGCCCTAAAACACTGCCGATAATGGAAAACCTTAGTCTTGTGTCAGTGGAATGTATGAATGAATATATATGAAATATGGAGCCTGAGGTTTCCAAAAACACAGCTCTTAATGTTGAATAGGATACGCTGCCTTCAAACCCATTTTGAATTGAATCAAGCCAATATCCTTTTCAGCTAAATCCCATCTCAGTGTAGTCACAGCTGACAGTAATCCCTTGGGTGTTGTACCATCATCACATCTATCAATACATATTTGGAACAAGGACACTTAGTCATGAATATAATTTGGTTGATTGTCAGGCAAATGATTGTAAACATATTTTCCTAATGATGTTTTGTCTCCACAGTTTGGTTGGACTCATGTGACTCTGCTGATCGTGGTGACTCAGTCTCACCTCATCATTCACAACCTGTTTGAGGGGATGATCTGGTAAATACACAGTCCTTTATCGTCTTCACATAGATAAAGCTTCACATTAATAGTTTCTTAAGTTTCTGTCTTTAAAAAGAAAATATTCCACTGTGTTTTACCATTTCAATAAACTTTAACACTTTTCATATTATACTAAAACTACCTCATTGCATTTAAATTAAAAAAAACTGTACCTACTATGTTTACCGTGTTTATTGGCAAGAGAAATCCAAAGACATCAACAGTCAGTGGTTAACGTATACATCAAAAAATCAGTATGACCAAATTATTAAACATATTGTCCACTTATGTTGATAAAGATCGAGTTCGTTTAAGTCTTATATGAATGTTGTGCCACAATGTTGATCCAGTCAGGCAGATTTTTCTCATGTGTGAACTGTCATAAGACTTATTCATTGTCCTCTCCATCAGCTTCTGTGTGTTCAGCTGAGCTGCTGATTGGAGGCTCTGCCTCTCTGTTATCCTCAGTTTGAATTTCATTAAGCTTTGAGGACTGACGGCCAACACACTTGTGTCTTTTGATACAATTACGCCATTTAAATCTTTTGTCACAAACATTGCAGCTGTATATTTCCTCTCCTGTGTGGACTCTCATGTGATCTTTTAAACTTCCACTCAGTGAAAAAGCTTTCTTACAAACTGAGCAGCTGTGTGGTTTCTCTGCTGTGTGGACTCTCATGTGTCTCTTTAAATTTCCAATCAGTGAAAAAGCTTTCTTACAAACTGAGCAGCTGTGTGGTTTCTCTGCTGTGTGGACTCTCATGTGTATCTTTAAAATTCCACTCAGTGAAAAAGCTTTCTTACAGACTGAGCAGCTGTGTGGTTTCTCTCCTGTGTGGATTCTCATGTGTCTATTTAAACTTCCACTCTGGGAAAAATGTTTCTTACAGACTGAGCAGCTGTGTGGTTTCTCTTTGTGAATTCTCATGTGTAGCTTTAAATGTCCACTCCGTGAAAAAGCTTTCTTACAGACTGAGCAGCTGAATGGTTTCTTTTCAGCACTACGTCGTGGATCACTGACAGATTCATGTATATTTTTGAGTGAGTTTAATCCTGATGCAGGTTCTCTGGTCTCATTCCAATGAGCACTGTCTTCAGTGACAGGTTCAGAAGGGTCTTCAGTGTCAGGTTCAGAAGAGTCTCCAGTGTCAGGTTCAGAAGAGTCTCCAGTGTCGTCCTCAGTCTTTGGTTGTAAACTGCTCTCTGGATCTGAGTTCCTGGCTGGTTCTGGTCCTCGACAGTCATCTCCATCAGCTTCTGTTTCCATGTGTTCAGTTTGTCTTTGATGAGGCTGTGAGGACTGAGGTTTCTCTTCATCATCTTCACTCTTCACAGGGTCAGGAGTGAAAGTGGACTTGGTGATATCAGCCTCCTCCAGCTCCTGAAGCTGCTCTCCCTCCTGACTGATCCAGAGTTCCTCCTGTTCCTGCTTAATGTGTGGGGGGGGCTGTGGGTCCTCCTGGTCCAGACTGGTGCTCCACTCCTGCTGGTCAGGGAGAACCTCTTCTTTAACCACCACCAGCAGCTGGACGTCTGCAGGAAACAGGAAACACACAGTCAGAAAAATCTGTTAAGTGTTAGCATTTGAAAATCTAATCACCATTAAAACGGGAGACATTTTCAGCCCTAATAATGCCTTTGTTTTTATACTTTAATATTATCTTTCTTAGTCCCACCTATTGTGTATTTTTGTTGGCTCAATTCACCTCATGTAGCCCAGCCCCATTCCACTTCCAGTTAAAAATGAAAAAGGGTTATTTCTTCTGGTTTAGCACTAGCTGCAATGTAAACAATGAATTGTATTTGGGATCGTTCACAGCTACACTACGCCTATAGAATGGTAATACTAAAAATATATTGTAGGGCCATACCTATACAAAACATGACTGTGAAGTTTTTTGCTTAAAATACCAAACAGATCACCCATTGTAGCCATGCCTCATACCCCTCTATTCCAGCCCTGTTCCAAAAAGGCTGATTCTGTGACTGTAGCTTTAAATGGAACAGCTGCTGCTAGCCACGCCCCTTTGTAGCGTCATGCAGCTCTCCCCTGCTAAGAGAGTTTTCTACTGGGAGAAACTCAGCTAAACACTGCCGTGATTAAATGCCATATTATGTTCCAAACTACTTCAAGCATTATTTCTGAAACAGTAGGAGCTCAAACCTTTCTCTCTCGCAGGAATTACCGCAAAGACATTACGTTACACATATTCTCTCCAGTAGCCTACAGCATTAGCTCTGAGTGTTAGCATGCTTGCTAATGTAAACACAGACCATATTACTGTCTTGTAATTATTAGCAGAGAAAATGTAATGTTTGTACAACTATATACAATTAATCTACCAATCTCGGTGGGAACCGGATTAGGTGGGGCTCGAAAATATTTCCAATTACACAAGGGGGGCCTGACTGAAAACGGTTGGGAACTACTGAGCTAGACGACTGTATACGGAAACGATAGGTTGGGACGTGTGCCGGTGACGAGAGGTTGGGACGTGTCACGTGTGCCACATTTCACCAATGACGTCATAGGAGCCAAATCCTGGATCTGCTCGTTTGCAGAGATGTGGGTAAGGAGGAAAAGAGAGAGGGTTGTATTTTCTGAATAATTGAGTCTCCTTACACACCGGGGACACATATTAATGTATAAAAGACATCAAAAAGTGCATTTTGCATACTAGGTCCCCTTTAACCTCTTAAGCAATGAGCCTGTTTTTCAGGTCTCAGGCTCGAAAATGACATTCCCAGAACAAATTACCATATCTTCCCTTCTAAAAGGGTTAAATTTATAATCTTCGTTCTCAAAGTAATGATAAACCTGTGAGTTGGATGTAGAAAAGTCAGAATCAATATACATGTTTCTTATTTTAAAGAAAATTCAGATTGAACATAGTAAAAAACTGTAAATTATTCTTTTTTACTTATAGTGAAAACTACCCATGGATAATGGGTTAGTAGACTAAAAGCTTTAGGAATCGGAAGTACAACATATAATAAGTACCCTGTATCAAGATTGATGCAAAACAAGTGAAATTTGACCTTTTTAGAGAGATTTAGCCAAAAAAACCCACTTCTGGGGTCATTTGGGCGGATTTTCCATATCTCTGGCCCCCGTTGCTCGATTTTGATGAATGAAATCTCTTTATAACCGCTAGAGCCAATGGAATCGAGGGAAAGTTCTATACATACCAACACATTAACAAATAAGGAGTGAGAGTGACGCGTGACCAAAACCGGAAGCTGCATACACTCTGGTGGCTACCATTAGTAGCTAACCTTTTCTCTCCGATTTTTACATAAAAATGGAATTATGGATTATAAATAATTTTTTCAAAGGCACAGATACATTATTAACCTATGGATCAACAGTTCTAGCCTTTTTTTTCTTTTTTTTTTCGTTTTAATGCCACTGAACACGTCTTTTGATCAGATTGACAGCTAAGGTGAGACGATCTCCCGTAAAAGCTCCGTAAAGGTACGTGTTGTGATGTCTGTGTTTGCTTCCCCTGTCGCAAGTTCGGATCGCTCAGCGATGATACTATACCTATTATAGTCTGTGGAGTCTCAGCTTTAATCGGATATATTGTATGTGCAGCTACGATAAGTAATAAGGGTATCTTTATCTTGAGTTGTGTGCTAAAGTGTGTTAGCATTTTTTCGCTTTGTGATAATTCAGAGGCTTGGTATTACCCTTGTGTTTTGTTTTGGTAAAAATTGTTAATATCTTCAGTTAGCTGAGATTCTTCCCGTTAATCTGGTGCTACACATTAATAGTTTCATAAATGTTAAGAAGCCCTGAGACATTGTCTCGAAAAAAAAACGGTGGGAGGGGTCCAATGGGGGGAGCATCGTCCTTAACCTGTTACGCACCGCCCCCCCGGTACCGGGCGGATAAACGCGTCATTTGCAGGAAACAACGTCTAAGGAATCTTAATATTTAATAAACTATGAATGTTTTATATCCATGTAACGGGAAGAAACTCAGCTAACTGATCTTTTGAATATTTTTTTCCAAAAAAAAACCACAATGCTAACACTCAGCCTCTGAATTATCCACGAGCGAAAAGATGTAACCTAAAACGGCACCTAAACTCTCAATAACTCCCTTATTACTTATCCTAGATGCACAGCCAACAACTCGTTTTGCATCTCCTGGAGACACAGAATCTGGGGGTGCCCACCTCAACACTCAGTGATAAACATTTGCGACGCTATAAACGAAAGCGTACATCATAACATGTTGAGCTAGGTAGCTAGAAACGCTAACATGGCTTACCTTGGTCAAAACTGGTCTTCAATGGCATTAAAACGATAAAAAAACGATGCTGCAGTTCATCCATAGGTTAATCCAATGTGTCTGTGTCCTCTTTGAAATTATTTCTGATAATCCATAAGCAATAAAACTGCTTTTTCGTTTCCAAATGTCAGAGCGAGAGATCGGTCCACTCTGCTGCAAAATTACATGCGCGAAGCACCCACCTCTTCTATTCACAACGTGTGTGTGTGGGGGACTCCCCCTTCGATTCTATTGGCTCTAATGGTCAGAAAGATGTGTCAACCATCAAAATCGACCAAGGTGGGCCAGAGATATGGGAAAAAAAACATTTTCACCCAAATCACCTCAGAGGTGGGGTGGTTTTGGCTAAACCTCTTATTATATGTTGTACTTTGGATTCCTAAAGCTTTAAGTCTACTAACCCATCATCCAAGGGTAGTTTTCACTATCTGTAAAAAAGAATTTTTGGACGGACACTATAATTTACAGTTTTTTACTATGTAAAATCTGAATTTTCTTTAAAATAAAAAAGATCTATATTGATTCTGACACTTCTACATCCAACTCACAGATGTAACCTTGCTTTGATAAAAGAAATTATTCATATAACCCTTTTAGAAGTTAAGTTGTAGTCATTTGTTTTGGGTATGTCATTTTCGAGCCTGAAACATGAAAAACAGGTTAAGAGGTTAATATCTTCACAGAAAATTCTGAGGTTTTTCATTTCAATGCTCTTTTAGCTGACATTTAATACATGCAGGTACATTTTTAGCAGGTATTAGCCGCGTTCACACCGGAGTACTTTCACCGTACTTTTCGCGTTTTAGTTCCGTGAGTACCCCTTATGTCGCGTTCACACCAAAAATCGTACTTAATCTCGGGTACTTTTACCCCCATTTTTAGAGCCAGCTCAGAGAGCGTACTTTTCTGTGGGTGAAAAGTGCTCCAAAAGTGCCCCAGTGCTGATTGGCTGGGCGAATTGCAAACCACGCCCGTACAACTCTGAAAATGTTGTGTGGAGACGCCATTGTTTTTCCTCGCTACAAAAACACAACGCTCCGTGCGTTGTGTTTGTTTTTGAAAGCAGTTATGGCAAGCATCAAGAAATGATGAGGAGGTGTCGGCGCTTCTGGAGATCTACGCCGAGGAGGCGACCCAGGGAATGCTACTGAAGCCAGTTCGGTAGCTTTCACTCGACCTGGGAATTGTGCACAGCCGGCTAAATATAAAGAAACTCAGGACTACAAACGGCGGATTCAGTGGCCAACGATGACTACCACGACGAAGGTAAAATCAACTACATGCACTGGGGTTTTAATCTGCACAATAATGGTCTCAGATGTACTTTTATTTGCTCAGTAGATCAAGCTAGCCATGCTAGCCATAATAGGCTAACACCGGCCCCGAGCTAGCTACATCTAGCTAGCTAGATATTCTCCGCCGCTATGAAAACGTTTTGACTTGTGAATAACTGTGCAGTGTTTCTGTAATTTGCTTCACTAACTCATGGCACTAATCGTCTGTTTCAGGCGAGGATGGACTACTCTCGGGATTGGAAACAAGCGAGCTTTGCATTCTAGATCACAGTTCTTGGTCGTCCTCCTTACCAGCAACCAAACGCAAAAGGTACACACACTATAACTTTGTCTTGAAAGAACGTTACGCATCGAACTGATGTTCACAATCATGTTTATTTCATAATATTCATCATATTTTATGTTTAACTTGCCTCAACAACATTAAACAAAGTTCAAGCATACATGAAGCACTCTTCAAAAAGGAACAATCCTCCGTGTTTGAACCTCTTAAATCGCTGCATAGCCGATTTATTTGGACTGGATTATCCCAGAGAGGCCAAACATTCTTTATAACACAGTTTCAGATTTGTGAAACCTTAATTCTATTTGTGAAAATACAAAAAAGGGAGATTTCAGTGCTTTTTTACATGTAGACCACATTAGACCAGGTCCTGATCTAAAACCACTATACCTAGACTCATCAAATCTGGACTGGATTATCCCAGAGAGTCAAAAGATTCTTTATAATACAGTTTCAGATTTGTGAAACCTTAATTCTATTTGTGAAAATACAAAAAACACATTCCTAGTATGTTGTAAAACGATATGGCGACTAAACAGATCATGTATATTGCTTATTTTCCCCTCTTAGGAAAGCGGACACGGGATGCGAATTTCTTTGACACCGCCCAGGCGTTGGAGGACCGGCGTGCCGTGGTGAATGAGTCGCTGCGTGGAGATCAGATGGTGCTGTTCACCAAGGCCCAGGAAACGGAGGACAAGATGCTCACCTCGATGGAGCGCCAGGCAGAAGTGTTCAAGCAGCAGATGGAGCGCCAGCAGCACCAGGATGAAGTGTGGGCGCTGCGCCATGAGGAAGCGTCGGCGCAGGGCAGGATGAGCGACAAACTGCATTTAATAACAGTTTATTTGGTATAGTTTTTGTAAATACTGACACACGACACACAACGTTGCACTAAGGTGTGTATGCTGCTGAGAATATCCCTACACCTGGGACAGTTTATTTTATATTGTTATTACTGTTATGACTTTATTTTATATATAATGTTTACTGACATGTACAACTGACACTTTATTTACATTTAAAATTGTTCTATTTAATGTTATGTCTTGAGAGTGCAATAAAGAAAACCGACATGGCGATTAAGCTTATTTCTCCTGACACTTTATCTTTTGTGACCTGTGTAGCATCCTATACATCACATGTAAGTGATTATTCTGATACCATCATGTTTCATCGGTTATAAACTGGCAAAGCTTTATTTGTCATTTATTTATCATCAATGTTGCAACCTTGTGGGGGAATGGCAGGGGCACATACACAAATATGACAATTTATATAATTTTAAATATTATTTGACCTAAACTTTTAATTCCCCCCCATTTCACACAACACAACATGGAGTCCACTATGGGCCAAAACTAACATGTATGTTTGCATAGTGTTTATGGCAGACGGATGCAGTGGGTCTCAGGAAGATATATAATAAAGGTGGGTTTGCTGCTGAGACTATCCCTACACCTGGGAGTTTATTTTATATTGTTATTACTGTTATTATATAGTACAACTGACACTTTATTTTATATTGACAATGTTTACTGACATGTACAACTGACACTTTAGTTACATTTAAAATATTTCTATTTAATGTTATGTCTTGAGAGTGCAATAAAGAAAACCGACATAGCGATTAAACAGATCCTGTATCAGCCATCCTACGGTGAAACATGGCAATCATGTGTGCTTTCCGTCGGCCAATCCTTTTCCTAAAGCTTTTGAACTGCCTTTGATGCTGAAGAAACTTTGCGATTATAGCATTCGACGTGTGGCGGCTCCGGATTTTTGTCGGACGCCTAATAGGCTCAGGCTCTGGCCGCATTAACGAAGTTACAAAGCTGTATAACATGAGCACAAACAGCACAACTTCAGTCGACTCCATCTCCATCATGTCTGAGGTCGGAAGGTAAACAACAGACAGTATACGCGGGAAGTTTTTCTTCTTCTTCTTCTCTTGTTTTGTAGCGGATTGCAAACAACTTTAAGGTGCTTACCGCCACCTACTGTACTTGTAATCTTCCCTCAGGGAAAAGTACTCCGGTGTGAACGCGATCTGTACTAAGTGCCCTGGGTTTAAAAGCGCCAGGGCTCTTAGTGCCGGAACTAAGTACAGGAAAGTACTTGGTGTGAACGCGGCTATTCATACTAAATAAGTTGTCCCTCCCCCTGGTGCCAGGACCAACAGATCCAACTTCAGGCTCAGCAGCCCTGTCTCCCCAGAATGCTGAACCTGAACCAGCTTTTCTCCCAACTGAAGGAGGTGAGCAGCATTGTGTTGAATGACATGCCACTTAACATATCTGAAGGGAGACTGGAATACAACATATATATATAAACAAAAAGCTAACATCTAATTTCAAACACAGTATTTTACCACATATTTAAGTTATATTTATTTGGATTTATGCATTCATGTTGAGAATGTTCCATTCAAAAATGTTATTATTAAAAAGGCATTTACACCATAAAAGATGGCTATTGAGATCTATTGTCAGGAATGTTAGTGTTATATCAAATAGTGAATTATACTGCAGCAGCATGTTGCATGTCTGCACAGTGTCATATTTTCACAGCTCAGTGTCAGTAAATACTGTGCAGTTAGTATTGGACTACAAGATAGATGCAAGCCTGTACAGGTAGAGTTATTTAAAGCATACATGAGTGGGTTGGGTTCTGGAGGTGTGCAGTGTTTCCCCTACCATTGTCTTGGAGCCCCGCACCCCCCCTGAAATTCAAGGTGTTTTTTATTTATTTTAAATATAGCACCAAATTGCAACTAATCTATATCTACTGTCACTTTTCACATTGAACATGTGCTCTTTTATTAAATAAACTAAACACTTTCATTTTAAGTTGTGAGTTTAGTGTTTTTGACCCTAAGAAACACTGATGCATTAATCAATAACAATAATCCACAGCTCCTCTCTCTGCTCCAGAGGTTTTAAAAAATATATATCCCAATGCCCCCGGGCCGTAGTTTGGACATCCCTGGTTTAAAGTGTTAATTAAGAGTAAAGGGAACAGACCTGCTCTGTGTATCCGAAGCTGAGGCTGTAAAACAGCGTCCAGTAGTTTCTGGAGTCTCTTGTTCTCCTCTTTTGAACGAGACAGCTCCTCCTCGAGCTCTGCAATCGTTTTTTCAAACAGAGCAAATATATCTTCAGCAGTGAGTCGCTGCTTCTTCAACGACAGCAGCATTTGGACTTTACTCATGTTTCCTAAATCACCTTTTCCTGCAAACTCCGTTAAACACACTGTTTCTTTCTCTCCATCAAACTCTCAATCTGACTAGTGTTGCCAACGTGTTTCCAGCTAGCATGCTAAGCTAGCTCCTATAGTCCGAGGTAAACACTCCAGAAAAATAGAGCACACAGTCCATTCGGAGGTTTATCCAAACACCCAGATGATGGATCAGTAGTGCTGGAGCTCACAAACGCTTTCTCAGGAACACAGAGAGAGAGAACCGTAGCGACGAGACGCCACCTGGACCCAGTGTGACTACCCGATCTGAATCCCTGCCCGATTTGCAATGCGCATGTGCGAGATGGTCTTCTTCTTCTTTTTTCTTTAATGGCGAATCGCTTCCACTTGGAGCATATATCGCCACCTACTGTTGATTTATTAAATGTTCATATTAAATCCTTGTCATCAGACCAGTGTTTTTGAGGAACTTGAAAATCAGCTTGTTAACTTCATTTCTTGATTTACTTTCGTATATTGACTTGAAATTATTGTCCTTGATGTTATGTTGTTCCAGTGCAGTTTTCAGAATGAGTCTTTGTCTGTTATAATCCGGGCAGCTAAAAAATACATGATGTATTGTCTCTGGTTGTTGGCAACCATCACAATTGCCATTTGGATGTTTTCCAATCAGATGCATTGTTGAATTTAATCCAGAGTGACCCAATTTTATCCTGCTGTTAATGCTCTGTTCTCTTCTACTACTCCCCCAGGTGCTTCCCGTTCCTACTTCCCTTTGTATCTGGTATAATTGTCTTCCTTTAGTGTTACTGTCCCATAGTTTTTGCCAATGTTGCTTGATAACAACTTTTGTAACAGATTTGACTTCTGCTCTACTGATGGGTACCATCATATCAATCTGGTTTGCTTTCAAACCACATTTTGCCAGTTGATCCATTACCTCATTCCCTCTAATACCCACATGCGCTGGAACCCACACACATTGAACAACAATTCCCAAATGAACTAACCTAAACATGATGTGTAAAATGTAATGTAAAATATCCTGACGACATTCTGAAGAGAAGTTGTTTATACTCTCCAGAGCTGCGCTGGAGTCAGAGCAAATGACCACTTGCATTGGCTGTATTTCCTCTACCCACTGAAGTGCTAGTGAGATAGCCATCATCTCTACTGTGTATACTGCGATGTGATCACTTGTTCGCTTTCCCACTTTGACCTTTAATTCAGGAACATAAAATGCACAACTAGTTTGACAATTTTCTGGATTTTTGGATCCATCAGTAAATATTTGTATATACTGCCGTGCGAGATGGTACGCCATATTGGACACTTGACACAGTGGCGTTTGGCAAAGCAGAAAAGAGAAAACACAAAAAATAAATAATAATAATAATATTAATCTGAACGAGAGATGAGTCAGTTATTGTTATTACAACGTGACTCCACTATTAGTTAACAACTCCTTTAATTGGGTAAAGTACATTGTCAGAATAAGTGAGAAATGGATTTAACTTCTGTTAGACAGCTATCATACTGAAGAAATATTTACTGTGAATGTATGCAAACATTTATGGCATTCATAATTGATATCTAATTACATTAACTGTGAATGTCTTTCATTTTATTTCAAATTCAATAAAATTACATAAAAGATTTTCCATAAAAAAGTTGATTCAAGAACAAATCTCTGTTATTAGATCAGTACTTTTCTTATATGACTATTATTGCTACATTTGAAAGGTCTTTACCAGGAATAATATTTGAAATTATATATATATATATATATATATATATAGCAAATTAGCAATGCAAATCGGGCAACCGTTTAAAGTGGACCTATCATGCTATATTTAAATGATATATTGTAGGGCCATACCTATATAAGGTATATTCAGTACTCAAGTTGTAAAAAGAAATCAGGGGAGATGGTGGATTTTATCATATGGGGACATCATTTTAGCTGATAACCCGCAGAGGGTGGGAGACCAACCAGCATAAAGATAATTATTATACTCCTAAAACAACTTGCATGTTATGGATGTTCAGATACTCCTGTCATTGCTCTTGACCAAGGCACCTCAGAATTAGAGTCGGTCCCCGGGCTGACATGGCACCTCTAACATTTAGGGTCAAATGCAGAGGACAATTAGTGCAAAATCTTTTTTTCACTTTAATTTAAAGGGGGGGAGGGGATAAAAAAAATGTGGTTATAATGGAAGTCTATGGTACAAATCTTGTAGGTTAACAGTCCCTCATTTATTATTCAGATGGATCAGCTGATGATACTAATAATAAAGTCAATTTTTTTCTAATTGAATTATAGTGTATTTTTTCAAAAAAGCAGATACTGGTATACGATCAAAACTGGTATCTAAAGGATTCATTTTGTATCGTGATTAATTAAATCATTATGTAAATGTAACACTTCATGAAAAAATGGAGGGAAAAAATTAGAACAAAATTGATCCGTCATCATTTTATTGCAGTTCAAATACAAATCTTTTATGTTACTTTTTTTAACAGGGCATTAAGTGCAAATTGAAATTGTTTACAAAATATGAAAATATATTAAAAGATTATACAGATAATACAAAATAGGACCAATTTTGTCAATGGCTGCCTACTCCACTCTCCCCCATCTCATAGAAGTTTCCAAAGATTTTCATAATCGTGCTTTTTGGTCTCAATTTTTCTGGCTCTTG